CGCACCCAAAAATTTTAACAAATGCTACAAAAAATTTAAAGATATGATAAATAACTAAGTTAATAAAATTGCACAAAAATCAAAGATAAGAAAATCGGGCAGTGAGTGATAACGGGAATTGAATAAAGTAGATAATTTTACAGCGAAAGTTGGCACAAAATTAAAAAAAAAGTTAGATAGATTTCTTTATTGAATACTAAGAAAAAGCATAGTATTAAAGCAAAAACAACTAAACACATATACCAGTCAAGTTTAACTAAACTCGCGACTAAAACTCAAAGATCAGCAGGCGTCAAGTCGATTTAACACAACAGAATAAAGATTTAGCCGAACACAAAGCAACGAAAATAAACAAAATCAACAAAAACAGCATCGACTTCGGACATACATACATATATGTATATGCACATGTACGTGCTTAATCATTTATTAGTAGCGACTTCTTGATTTGCGAAAGTATTTCCATAAATAATAATTTCCCTTTGTTGAAATTCACCGAAGTCATAAAATACAGTAAGTGATAAATTATTTCGAACAAATAAAAAACACTTCTAGTTACTTACAGACATACATAGTTTTATTGCATTTTTATATCCGGCACACTTATGCAGAAGGGTATTATTGCTTTGCTCCCTTCAAGAAAGTAAAAGCCAAGAATGATAGAATACCAGCTTGCGCCGATCAGAGAGGATTTTTGAGAATAACTTTTGTGTGACGTCACACTGGTGCAATTGCGAGAGAAATGCCAAAACGTGAGCAAGAATGGAAGAAGAAGAAAAAATGTTGCAAGGAAAACGTAAACAAGTTGCACCAGTGTTACGTCATGCAAACAACGATTCTGTCAAATTCGTTAAGAGAGGAATAGCGGTCCGAGATCGGCGCAACCTTTGTATTCTCTCAATCGTGGGTAAAAGCGACAACAAAGAGCTCTCTTCGTAGCAGATTATAAATAAGGAGCCATAAAAGGATGTACGCATGTAAACACATTTTTTTTCTATACACGATTTGTTCTACATTGGGCATTACTGGTGAACTCGAAAAGAGCGAATAGTTGATTATACCTTGGCAACGACCTAAACCAATCGAAATAGATATACTTGCAAGCATATCCATTCCAAATGCTCAGAATGTAAAAAAAAACTAAGGGCGTGTAGTCCCTACGCGAGAAAGAAGTGAAACCTAGTCCTTACCTTAGCCATAATTTTCATCGTAATCTTTATCTTTAACGGTTTTTTTTTATGGCCTTATAACATTATGTATATTCAAATAATTTATTGATTACGCTACACGACAAAAAAAGTCACAAGGAATTAAATAAAAGTTCTCCAAAGTAGAATGGTTTCTCTGGGTCAGACCTAATTTCTGAGATATCGGTGAAAAAATGCAAAAAACCCATAGTTGCGACACATTCCATTACTTATGTACATAAAAAGTTGTATTTGTCATCATATCGCTTTAACATTTGGGATATATGTAAAGAAAACTCCAGCAAAAGTTTTTCGCCTTCATACAATCAATCACACAAGTGGTTTGGTCACTATAGAAAAAAGCATACAAAAAAGTAAGAAACGAAGAACTCTATTACAAACATATTAAACCTACTTATACTTTTGAAACTGAGAAAACTTGTTTCATATTTTCACGGATATCTCAGAAACTAGGTTTGACATAGATAAACCATTACGATATACGGAATCAGAAGAAAATTGTACGTTGGATAAGTTTTGTTTTATTCTTGGTGGTTAAAGTTGATCAAAAATTTTAATGAATAATATAAAATCAAGAAAATTGTTGAATTTTATCTTTATCTTTAACATTTATCTTGGTTGTAAGACATGCAGAGTCCGCAAAAAACGTCCAGAAGCATTGTCCGGAGGATGCATCAGACTAGGCCGAGCATATTTTGCCATACAATTATAACTAAAACAAGTTTTATTATATGGCAATTGAGAAGTGCATATGCAAAAATTTCACAAATACAAAAGACAAATTTTACCACATGTAGCAGTGCATGGCATGCATTTAGGCGCTCGGTGTTGGTAGTCGCGCCTAGCAAGTCTGCACATTGTTTCTTTACATTTCTAATAGACACTAGCAGATAGAAGAAGAATTATGCTGGCAAACAGTGAATTAAGAAGGAGGGTGCCAAGTATACAATATTATGACATTTCTGACCATTTGCGAGCTATATGTTGGGGCGAAAACTTTGCCTCTTTCGCATCTAAAATTTGCTTTTTGATTTGATTATTTAATCTAAAATTTAGATTCTAGATGCATCTCTCGAGACAGCTGCTTACATACTTACGCATACCGTAATACGCACTTTGAGTTTACTTAGCCAGGAAAACCAATTAACTGGGGATCTCTCAGTAGATAAGTTCGCTTTTCAACCAATGATAAGCGGGAAATCCATTCAAGCGGAGGGCGATGCTGTGCATACTGATTGAGTTTCTTTATTAATATTTTTTCTTTTCACTTTTGCATTTAATGAGTCACATTACATTCACACATCCACACGTCCGTATGTACATAAATATCACCCATGCGAAGTACATAATTATCACAGAGCTTTCGCAATATTTCTTTGCAATTTTTACGGGTACTTTTTTAAGCTTAATGCATACACGATTTATTTATTAGTCATTATCACCTAGAGCGAAAAAATTGTGGTTTAGTTAAAATATAATTGTTTATTTTAAAGTTATTCGTCATCTTTGCATAAAATATGTCATCAACTTTAATTGTATCAAGAAGATCTTTGAGTTAAGGAATAATCTTTTATTATGAATTTTTAGAGTGCGTACATCCGCTTTTTGTAAGATACCTTTTTCATGTGCATACCAAAATTCATACATACATACAATGTACATTGGACCGTACCACCTTAGGTTTGGTTAGTTTATAATGGTTTCCCCAGACAAGGGACACACTTGGTCCTTTTTTATATCACGAATGCTGGGAGCCGAAACTAAAGTCACTAATTTCAATGACTGGGAGCTCCTCAGGGTTACTCAGCCAAAATGTTTCCTTCCTTGGCTCGCGAAGGATGGGCAGTCTACTGATACAAAAGGGATCAGTTGAGATTCCTAACCTTACCGCGTGAATACCAATCGCACAATGGCCTGTCGGGGCCTCCACTAGAAAAGAGCTCCCAGATCCATCCCAGGCCAGAAGGATCCTGCAGTTACATGAGGCCCAACCATCCAAGAGTGAACCACAGGCGAAAAAATAACAATAGGGATAACATTTCAAGGGTGCAGTTTATTTCCAAGTCATAATCTATGAAGTTTCCCACAACAGTGGCCTGGTTCATAGAGTGGTGAGACATTCCAATTTCGAGCGCACCACCACCGGCCGTGATAGTCGCATAAGCTAATCTCCTAAACTGACGTCACGATCGTCAGCAGTGAATTTTCGCCTCAAAGACTCTACAAAAGTTTTCATGGAGAGCTGCCGGCAAAATATAACCCAACCCAAGAATGATAGAATACAAGACAATCGAGCTGAGAGTAATTGGCCGTGACGTCAAAATATACCAGAATGAGAGAGCGAGACGAACTCGACAAGAAAAAGACGAAGCATCGAACAAAAGGCAGTATTGCCAAGTTTTAAATTTGAAAAACCTCCAAATTTTTATTTACTTTATATGAATACATAATTTTATTGTAAGGATGCCGATTCAAATTAATAATAATCAATGTTTCTTGCACAACGGTCGATTTCTTCTGGCATGATTGAAGGTGCTACACATACATACATATTTCGTTGTCGCTCATGATTGTCACTGTGCCATGATTTTGTTTAAATTTTTTTAAAATTGCTTAGCACACTTGCGATTTCTATAAATTTTGCTTCCATTTTTTTTTAGATTTTCTAATTTGAATTCTTCAAACTAAAAACAAAAGCACCAAAAACGCATCAAGCACAAAACTCAAAAATTTTCGCGTTTTGAATACCCACTAAATTTGGTGCGAAAAGCATCAAGTTGGCAACAGTGAATGTAAACAAAAGTATATTATGACGTCAGCGATTGGGTGGATGCAGTCAAATCGACGAAGAGAGGGTTAGCGGTCCGCGAATGGCGCGACCTTTATTTTCTGGATCGTGACCCAACCAACCCTGTCTCCATATTTCACTGCTCCTTCCATTAACCCCGCCCCACCAAGTTCTCTCGAGGATAATCTTAATAGGTCAAGGCTTCCTCTATCCACTTTACTAATGTGAGTAAGGTAGTAGCCAACGACTTTCCCTTGCAGTAAGCATGTTGAGCTCTCTAAAGACAGTCACGACATTTAGTCGTTTTCCGGCCTTTTTAGTAGAAACGAAGACAAACTTATAGGCCTATAGGCATGCTTAGTGGAAGCATGAGAGTCCTTAGTGACCTTCGAGACGCAACCCTGATGACTCTCACCCAGTTCGCTTAAATAGGAGCCAGCCAATTGCACGACACCTTCACAGTCTTCGTCCACAACGTCGGAGATGGAGGTACAACTCCTGTACGTTGTTCCAGCGGAGATTTATCCTGGGGAATTGTTGCAAGGAAATGAGCATAAAGCAGAAAATTTAGCGACTGCTCACTGCTCATTGTCCCGTCTGCCTCGTCTCTGAAGTAACCCAAGGGAACCGGATTCTTCGAAAATATTCGCCTAAATTTGGCTGATTCATATCACCCTCCCACGCTTAGGCATAAGAATTTCCATGACTCCGATTACATTTATTAATTTTTATTTGCGTTGTAAAAATACTTTTGACTGAATGGTGTACGGCGAACTTTTTTTTGTTGACACTACTACTACTATATATTTAGACAGTTTCACAACGAACCCTATTTTTTATGCCAAACAAGAAAACTGCAAATGTTTCCAAACGTTTTCTGAATAAAGCTTAACGGAGAAAACCGCTCACATAGACAGTTTCCATTCAGAGGCAAAAGTAACACTTACGCGGATTTTCTTTAATTTAAACTTTAACTTTAACTTTAACTTTAATATTAAAAATTGTGAAGCCTCGCTTTGCCAGCGCTGACTTTTGCTGATAACAAGTGCTATTTATGTCTCAAGAGGACTGCAAACATATTTTGAAAATGAACAATTTCCACTTTAAGATTTTAATTATCCACTCAAATACTCATAAAAACTTATAAGCTCAAACATTGTAAGCAATCGACTCATCAAAATATCTCCAAGAATCATTCATTAACCAACATTGGCTCTGCAAATGCTTTCGATATCACTTAACTTCGAACTTAAGTAGAAAATTAATACGATTAAACAATACTGTAATTGACTTGTAATTCTTTTTGATTCTCTTCTCTTTCAATTGTACGCACAAAATTGTAGACTCGCTCAAGCGCAACACCTCCAGCCTAGACAATGGGTAACACGCAAACGAACCACACCACAGTCAACGAGCCACAAACGCCAACGAATGGCGCTGGTGCAGGTGCCGGTGCAGGTGCGGGGGGTAGCGGTAGCGGCACATTGAAAAGTCGGCGCGGCAGCCGAGTGAAAGTTTTTGCACGATTCGGCCAAAGGAAACAATCGCAGCTGCCAGCGTCCGCGTCGAAGGAGGCCACCGCCACCACCACCACCACTGTGGCCACACCTACATCGACTTCCGCTTACGATGACTCCATCGAGGAGGAGCTGATGCTACGCCAAAGTCATGCGGCTGTGATAAGGCAATTGGAAGATGAACAAATGGATTTCCGTAAGTTTGTAGTTTTCATTCTACAATTTTCTTTGTTTTTCAGTTTGTTTTCGATTGCAATATTCTTGTTGTTGGTGTGCATATTAAAAACTTCCTCCTTTAATCCTCCTACTTCTATGCTTACAAAACAGTTACTCAATTTACTTACTGCCATCATTGATTGTTGTTGTCGTTCTTGTTCTTATTCTAGTTCTTGTTCTCTTACTTGCTAGTCACATACTTTTTTGCTGTTTCTTTTTTTTTGTTGCGAATTGGATATTCTATTATATTACTATGTATTTGTATGTATTGGAAATGAAAAGGAATTAAAATTTGTAGTACTAAATATTTGTTGAATTTGGCGGCTTGTTCATTTACTGCAATTCCTTTTTATTTATTTTTTGTTTCTTTTTTCTTTTAACTTTTAAGCCAATTTAATCGACCTTTTGATTGCCTTTTAAAAAGTTTTTAGCTTCACTTTTATTGCTAAAATTTTCAACCTTAAAATTGCTGCCCAAACCCATGCCCCAACTGTTGTTGTAGTTTCCGCGTAGTGAGAGGTACTGAAATTGGCAAAATATTTTAAAGTTCGCAGGCTTCAATATCAGCAATCGTAGACCAGTGTACTAATATCCACAATGCTTACGATTTTATATTAAACACCTTCCGCTTTCGCTTGGCATATTTTTAGGCCCATATGTCACTCATTCAGAGATTTTTAGCGATAGAAATTTAGCGCAACGATTTCTAGAATCCCACTGCTGATGTGACTTCATTTGATAAACAGAATTTGCCTAAATTTGGTTGATTAAAAATCAAAGATTTTGAAATGCAGCTGATTGAGTTCCAGTGTAATTTAATATGGACTAAAAACTTTGTCGAAACAAATGAAAGAGTTGGAATTGATCGAATTAGAAAGATCAGCAGCCAATTGGGCCAAAAATGCTAATACTAAAATTTTAGACAATTTGACAATATGTATATGAGTCCTAAACACTTACCACGAAAGGTACACAGAGACTTGTGTGTCAATTAATGTCTCCAAGAACAGTAATAAGTCATGATTTCTTGTTGGCACGTCATGGCTGCATTGAATATTCCTTTGGAAGTAATGGCACCTATACATATGTATAAAGGTTCGCCGGCCCTGAACTAGGGTATGAAACCGAAGATTGTCATGTGGAGATTTGTGTGTAGGCCGTTATAACATATAAGGTCAATGTTGCTTATGGCACCTTAGTATTGTGACCAGCGTAAGTAAACAGTACAATGACTAATTGTGTTTTCGTTTGTACAAAAACTTTCGGTTTTTGGCTGTCCCTTTCTCGTTTCATGTTAGTTTGAAAGGAAAAAAATGCAAACTGGTGAGAAAATTCCGTTTTCGTTTCTTAAAATGTCATACCCTAATAAGGCCAAAACTTTATCAGGGGAGGAGGCTTCCCTGAAAATGAGATGCATACCTGTGTCATTTCGTTAAGAAAAATTCTCAGGTTAATTTCCAGTGTAATTAGCAAGGCGTCAAAAATCGTGTTTTTGCAAAAATGTTAATTTTATTGCGGATTCCGGCCAAATGTTTGTTTGGGAAGATTTTTGTTTAAGACTTATGGTTTTCTGAATACGAATTCCATTAAATATGTATTATAGGAAATAGATGGATAGAAAATATATCTACAGATTACCTGGTATTAAACCCAGATCGTGGCTTAAAAATACAGGTACACTACCCATGGACGGCGGTGTAGAGGTGGGAGCCTACTCCAAGGAGTAGTGTCGCTCAGTCGTTGCGGCTGCGCACTTCTAGGTACCCGTCGGATCGGTAGGAAACTAAAGAATAGCGCCATATGCCAGCTATGTAGTGAATTGAGAAATAAATTTGAAAAAGACCCGACAGAAGAGCATCGACACACACCAACTATGGAAATGCCAATTTCAAAGCCGATTTATACAGCGCGAAAAGGGGTTGCCTATTCGTTGCGATGTCTAAATTTGGAATACCCGCGTACCACGCTACGGCTGTCTAAAATGGAGTTGAGCAGTTTCCTCTTTTCTCGATATTCTCTTTGGGGTTCCTTATGTCAATTTAAAGTGATTATCGTCCTTCTTACACACAGACCATCATTAAGTAAAATTCTAAACAAAATTCTATAAAGTCTAAAAGTTTAAATGGATTTACATAAGCAAATGCATACGTATGTACATCCGTAACCACGCAAACACTGACTATGTCATACATATGCATTCACACCGAAATCGAATTTTATTCATCGTCAACAAAGAAGCTGCTCTTTGAATTTGCATTATTTTCTTACAGAATTAATTTGTATGCCATTATATTTGACGAAGTTTTCTGCATAAATCCGAATACATAAATACAAAAGCAACAAAATTCATAATTCATAAGTAATACAGTGAATGGAATTGAATATTTTTTAAGCCTTTCACACAGCGCAAGTATGTAGCAGTGATGGAAAAGTAGGTACAATTGTACTTTTTTCGGCTCTTTT